GGTCCCACCGGATGGCAACCCTTCCCTCAAGAGTATCAACCACACCACTGAGCCTGGTGCCATCCGCAAACTTTCTGAGGGTGCACTCAAGCCCACTGTCCATGTCCCTGACAAAGGTGTTAAATAATCCTGGTCCCAGTATGGACCCCTGAGGAACACCATTTGTCACTGGTCTCCATCGGGACATTGAGCCATTGACCACAACTCTTTCAGTGCGACCATTCAGCCAATTCCTTATCCACCAAGTGGTCCACCCATCAAATCCATGTCTCTCCATTTTAGAGACAAGGATGTTGTGCGGGACAGTGTCAAATGCTTTGCACAAGTCCAGGTAGATGATGTGAGTTGCTCTTCCCTTATGCACCAATTCTGTAACCCTATGGTAGAAGGCCACCAAATTTGTCAGGCACGATTTGCCCTTAGTGAAGCCATGTTGGCTCTCACCAGTCACCTGGCTGTTTTCCATGTGCCTTAGCATAGTTTCCGGGAGGATCTGCTTCATGATCTTGCTGGGCACAGAGGTGAGACTGACTGGCCTGTAGTTCCCCAGGTCTTCCTTTTTCGCCTTTTTGAAAATGGGGGTTATGTTTCCCCTTTTCCAGTCACTGGGAACTTCACCAGTCTGCAACAACTTTTCAAATGTGATAGAATACCAAGTATTTTTTATGAGAGTAATGACAATTGTAGCAATGATCACTAAAATGGAAACTACCCAATATGTTTTTATTATTTTTTGTTTTACTTTATTTGAGTGTCTGTTTTCTAGTTGAAAACTGAGTGGGTATCAACCATGTTTCATTTTTACATTTTTCAACTTTAAAGGCTAATCAAAAGGAAATAGACTCATGTTACTACGCAGTAGGTTGATGCCAGTTTGCCTGGGATGCCATTGCATTAAAAAGCAAAATGGTACATTTTCTGTCTGAAACAAAGGAAAGTCATGTCTCGGCCTTTGCCATTGTTTGTGTTGAAATGTGTATGATTTAATCTACCACAGCCCTTACCAAGAAGAAATAACTACAGACTTCTCTGCCTCACCTCAAATAGTATACTTCTGCAATTCTAACAGATAACCGTATTTGATGCGGAGTCAGAAGATCAGCAGGACATTGATTTGGCAATTCTGACTGCTCTCTTGAAAGGTACCTATCTAAAAATATGACCTCTTTTCATCTGCCATACAGTCCAATTGACTTACCTTTTCAAAGCAAAGGAGTAATATCAATGTGTGAAAACTGCTAGGTCCTTTGCTTGTTTCCTAGGTACAAATATGTCTGCTTCAGATCAGCTAGATTTGGCATTGGCCTGGAACCGGCTAGATATTGCCAAGAAACACATACTGGTTTATGGACAGCACTGGAAGGTACTATTGTCTTTTAATTTTCACAGTGGCTTTACACTTTATTATGATGACCAATTTTCCATGATTTGCATTTGTCAGGCTTTAATTAAGGAATAGTTTGATGCTTGGAGTCAGTCTTCTGGAGTAATCATCTCTGATTTTGGAGAGGCATTATTCTAAAAATTGTGAAGTATTCAACTGCAGAGTGCATCAGGTGAAAAATCAAACACGTTTATTTCCCCAGAGAAGAGTTGATATCAAAAATTCCTGTAGTTTTCACTGCTAGCTTTTCCAAATAGTTTCAGTGGTCCTTCTGGAAATGTATTCCTCAAGCCTGTGTTGACAATCATTGGTGGTCAAGGATATTTCATTGTAGCCCAGAGTACTCTTTTCTCCAAAGGAGTAAACGCCAAAGGAATGTTGCCTCTCTTTTCCTAGCTCTAGACAGAAATACAAAAATCACGGTCCTTTATGGTGCTACCAGGTAAAAAAAAAGGTAAAATTAACTATGGTAACATGGCATCATGGCATTATTTCATATATTGTTTCTTAGAAATAGCTGCAATCAAGGCAAGCCAAGATTTAGACCTACATTAACTGTATGTGCGTGAAAGAACATACAGTAGCAATTGAAGCAGTCCTATAAATTGTGATTTTCAAGTTTTCACATGTAATCTGGTATTTAAGTATAAATTTTAAGTACGTTTTTTATAGATGATAAATATAAAACTGTACGTGCCTCAACATGTGCTATTCCCATTTGTTACAAGAGTAAATATTTTCTTCAAGAAATTATATCTCATGCTCCCAGAAGTACTTTTTAAGTTTTCCCTTCCAAGAATTACAAGGTTGATTTTTCCAGTCCCGAGTGCCTTTTCTTCATTACAATGTAAATTTTGGAAAATTGACAGTGGGTATGTTTTTTCTGAGTGACTGTAGCTGGTTGTTTGACACAACAAGGGAGCTGAATTTATTGATCACAGTCCGTATTTTCTTGTGGTGTATAAGGCTGAATACATGGAGGACTATGCCCGAGATGTCTACAGTTGGGCATCTATGAATTAAAGGATTTTTTTTTGTTGTTACCTGTTTGGGCTCAGTTCACTATCTGTGAAGTGGAGATGATCACATCATGTTCTTGCAGAAAACCTGGTAAAAATAAATGGTGTCAAGTGCCCGCTGAAAGGCAAAGAAGGAAGTTGCTGGTTTCATTTTCAGGATTTGAATGGTGTGTGAATAATAAGGGATGTGCCAAGCCTGGCATAATACAGTTAGAACAAAATGTTGAATAGCTCCCTGCTAAGAGACCATCATTCACTCTGTGAACTGAATAAGACTGCATAACTTTAACAGTGTTTCTGTCCAACAGACTTTTGTTTTTATGGAATCTGGAAAAGATTTGTGTATACACAACGACGTGTGCATATTTTTGCCTTCATGATCTTTTTTACAATACCCTCTTATGTCTATGAAGAAAATGTATTTTTTCCAATGTCTTTCATTGTTTTATAGCATGTACATTTTTTTATTTTTGTTTATTTAGTTTTTTGCCTTCAACAACTCTGCTGTGAACTGTTGATAAGCTTTATTGAAGCACGTCTCTGTAAGATATTAAAGAAAGGGGGACACCATCTATCTTACTGCTTGAAACTGTATACTATTGGATAAGAGAGAAGCATTATGCTTTTGCCATTTTTATCACTTGAAGATATATGTTGGCAAGGCCTGTGAGTCTGCATCATTCCTTTGTATTTATATGAAAAGTGTGGCAGGTGAAACTTGCTTTGACTGGTGAATTAGTATAAATGATACAATAATAGAATCATAGAACCTTAGAATAGAATCATAGAATCACTGAGGTTGTAAAAGACCTTTAAGATCATCGAGTCCAACCGTTAACCTAACACTACCAAGTCTACCACTAAACCATGTCCCTAAGCGCCACATCTACACGTCTTTTAAATACCTCCACGGATGGTGACTCAACGACTTCCCTGGGCAGACTGTTTCAGTGCTTGACAACCCTTTTGGTGAAGAAATATTTCCTAATACCCAGTCTAAGCCTCTCCTGGCACAACTTGAGGCCATTTCCTCTCGTCCTATCACTTGTTACCTTGGAGAAGAGACCGACACCCACCTCGCTACAACCTCCTTTCAGG